GAACTCGTAATATGGGTGGGGTGAAGTCAGAACGGAGGCGGAACAAGGTAGCAATGAGGTCATAAGGTGGGCGGAACAATGTAGCAATGAGATCATAACGTAGGCGGAACGAAGTCGTAATGTGGGCGGGATGAGGTCAGAACGCAGGTGGAACAAGGTAGCAATGAGGTCATAAGGTGGGCAGAACGAGACAGCAGTGAGGTCGTAACGTGGACAGAACGAAGTCGTAATGTCGCTGGCACAAGATGGCAACGAGGTCATAAGGTGGGCGGAATACTGTAGCAATGAGGTCGTAACGTGGGCAGAACGAAGTCGTAACGTGGGCGGAACGAGGTTGTAAGTTGGGCGGAACTAGGTCAAAATGAGATTGCAATGTGGGCAGAATACGGTAGACACGAGGTAATAAGGTGGGCGGAATGAGGCAGCAATGAGGTCGTAACGTGGGTGGAACGAAGTTGTAACGTCGGCGGCACAATATAGCAACGAGGTAATAAGGTGGGATGAATGAGGCAGCAATGAGGTCGTAACGTGGGCGGCTCAAGATGGCAACGAGGTTATAAGGTGGGCGGAACGAGGCAGTAATGAAGTCATTTTGTGGTCGTAACGTGGGCAGAACGAAGTCGTAACATGCGTGAAACGAGGTTGTAAGTTGGGCGGAACTAGGTCAAAACGAGGTTGTAACGTCGGCAGCACAACATAGCAACGAGGTCATAAGGTGGGCAGAATATAGTAGCAATGAGCTCGTAATGTGGGTGTAATGAAGTCGTAACATGGGCGGCACAAGATAGTAACAAGGTCATAAGGTGGACGGAATGAGGCAGCAATGAGGTCATAATGTGGGCGGGACGAAGTCAGAGCGCAGCAGAACAAGATAGCAATGATGTGATAAGGTGGGAAGAACGAATTCAAAACATGGGCAGAACAAGGTAGCAACGAGGTCATATGGTGGACGAAAGCAGGTCAAACCGAGGTCGGAACGTGGGCTGAACGAAGTCAAAATCCGTGCGGGAAAAAGGTAGCAAAGAGGTCATAAGGTGGGAAACGAGGTAACAAGGTCAAAACGAGTTCAGAACGTGGGCGGAATGAAGTCGTAAGGTGGGCAGAATGAGGTTGTAAGTTGGCCGGAACTAGAGGTCTTAACGTGGGCGGAACGAGGCAGCAATGAGATCATAACGTAGGCGGAACGAAGTCGTAATGTGGGCGGGACGATGTCAGAACGTAGGCGGAACAAGGTACCAATGAGGTCATATGGTGAGCGGAACGAGGCAGCAATGAAGTTGTAGCGTGGGCGGAATGAAGTCGTATCGTCAGTGGCATAAGGTAGCAACAAGGTCATAAGGTGGACGAAAGGAGGTCAAACCGAGGTCGGAACGTGAGCGGAACGAAGTCAAAACGCAGGCAGAACGAAGCAGCAATGAGGTCGTAACGTGGGCAGAACAAAGTCAAAAACCATGCGGAAAAAGGTAGCAACGAGGTCATAAGGTGGGAAACGAGGTAACAAGGTCAAATTGAGTTCGGAATGTGGGCGGAATGAAGTCGTAAGGTGAGCGGAATGAGGTTGTAAGTTGGCCGGAACTAGGTCAAAACAAGGTCGTAACGTGGGCGGAATACAATAGCAACAAGGTCATAAGGTGGGCGGAATGCGGTAGCAATGAGGTCGTAAGGTGGGTGGAACGAAGTCGTAATGTGGGCGGCACAATATAGCATCGAGGTCATAAGGTGGGCGGAATGAGGCAGCAATGAGGTCGTTTTGTGGTCGTAACAAACTCAAACCGCGGGCGGAACAAGGTAGCAATGAGGTAGTAATGTGAGTGGAAACCCATTTCGGCCGCTTGTATCCTTGAGAGGGGCCAAAGGAGTCAGGTGCAGTGTGGGATGTGCGGTAGCCGAGGGAAGGCACCCTGGCAGTCTTATCCTCGGTTGCAGAAACTGGCCCTTGGGAAATTATACAACCATTTTTCTTATTAAAAAACTTTTTCTTTGAATATTAAGATGTTTTTCTATTAAAGTTGTTTTTAACCTGCTAATATTATGACTATTCTTGTAAAAAAAAATCAAAAACAAAAAACAAACAAGTATTCCATTGTGCAAGACATGGATGTTTGAAATAAAAACCTCTTTTGTAATGTTTTCTGTAATTTGTAAAAAAAAAATATTTTGAAAGGAAAGTGAGGGGGGAAAAAAAGCTCTTATCTAAATGTGAGATTCAATTTTAAGCTGTACCAGTAAAGCCAGTTCCCCTCATCAATGTGCGTTTGTTATGCACATCCATCAGAGGAAATCATTATTCAACAAAGTGTTGTGTAAACGGAGCTATTACAGCTCCAGAGCGGGGGGGAGGGATTAAATGAAATGTTTTCAGATTTTAAAGGAGCTTAGTGTTGGTGCTGCCAAGCTGGAGCGTCGCCAGCAGCAGAGCCGGTCCCAGCTGAAGCTCCCATTCACAGCCTGGTGATGTAACCAGAGGTCCCACTCCGACATCACTCGCCTTCATCCTGCTGCTCTGTCCCTTCATCGCTGGCTTCCCAGAGGTCACAGAGTTGGTTAGAGACGCAACTTCTCTTGGGTCACTGCTCTGGGCAAAGAGGGAAGAAACAGGCGACGCTAATCCAACCGTGCTACGCTATGCTATGCTATGTTATGCTACGCTAAGAGTGGCCTACAACTTGACCTCTGTCCACTTTATGAAGCTGTGGTTACAGCAGAGCAGCAGATCAGTCCCCATTATATTTAAAATCTGTGTTCTTATTTCTGAAGATTTCTCTGAGTTTTAATGTTTGTACCATAAATGTGTAAAATCTTGTGGCACCTGGAGCTCATCCATCCTGCAGGATCCCAGAGGAAAACTTCCTGTTAGCTGATTCCTCCGTTATAAACGGACTGATTAATATCATAATATTAAACGCTGGTTATTTATTGACAGTTTACCAGCTGCTTGTTCTGATTCTATGAATTTTGACCCAGAAAACGCGAACCGTTAAAAATGTTCTGATGCACAGACGTTCCCTGGAGGCCATCTTGTCTGGAGCATTAATTCTTATTAAAGTTATAATTTTTTCAGGTAATGATAATAATGAACCCAAGTCTTTCTTTGCAGGCTGGTGTCCTCCATCCACGCTGTCATGGCAACAACAACGGGGATCATCGTCGTTTCCTCATGCAGCAGCAACATAATTTATGACAGGTCAGATTTTATTCTTATAGTCCTTGTAGCTCAAATTAAATTTTCTTCCAGCATGTTTTAGTGGGACTGTTTGGAGACATTATGAGCAGTAAATATCTTACGTTCAGTACTTGGCTTTACTTTGGATAAACGGATGATAACGGCTAGTCTGAGAGAAACTGTTTTTAAAAACTTTTTATCTGCACATAGATTAGTAATAATAACAGTTTTTATTTAATAAGAACAATAGCCGTTTTAATTTCAGTAGATACACTTGAGTTTATTTCCTTTACAGGGTTTCCCCCAGTGTATTATAAGGCTGGCGGCCCGCCATGTTTTACTAGCCCCGCCACCAGGCTAAGCGTTGCTTGTTTACGTTTCTAGGAAAATTAAAAGAAAACACACACACACACACACACAAAAAATCGTTTTTTTTCCTTTTGTTTGTCTTTTAAAGCTGGGCTGCAAGTGTCTCTTTTGCTCTTAGCATTTCACTAGCAGAGCAGATATATTCCTAAAGATTAGGTTTATAATAGATAGGTTTTTAGGCCTGTCGCGATAAACGATATATCAATTAATCGCACGATAAATTAAACCTATCGACCTCATTTTAATTATCGGCTTTATCGTCTCTTCCTGCCTTTTTTTCTTTCTGTTGATGACACTGAATGAAAAAAGGCTCAGCTCCGGTGCTCTTCACTGACCCTCCATTCCTCATTTCCTTAGTGTAATGTCCAGCGCACACTACACGAGTTGTTAGCCGACTGTCGGCCCATTTTCAAAACCTGAGACCACACATTAGCGACAGAAATCCTAGGTATAACGGTTCGATTGTGCCGTGTGGTGTCCAGCCACATGGGCACAAAATAATGGCTACAAGTCCAGTTAACTAATTTTAAAACCAGGTATTAGTCAATGCTTTACTAGAATCTACCTGCAATGCATGTGGCTAGAGTCAGCGTAAAGTCCTGACTGAATGAAAATCATTGTAACCTATTTATGTCACGTTAACGAAGAACAGCTGAAAACTTACTGGGTTTATCAACTGCGGTAGCAATTTGGCTCCAACTCCTCTCCTTGTCATTTCTATATTCTTTGCACTAAATGTGAAATAAATATTAATGTTGTTTCCACATATCATCTCCGATGTCCACTGGACTTCGGTTGCGCTGTGTCAGCTGTTTGGGATTCCCCTCTGTAATTTCCCCTCAAAAAGCCAGTGGAGAATCCGTGCATTCTGATTGGCTACCTGTCACATTCAGCGTTAAGCTCCCAGTCGGGGAAAACCTCTGATTTAGATCGGAGCGGCCACGACGATCTGCCGTAACACACCACACACTGCAGGATGATCGGTTACGAAATCACCAGCGACCATCTTGGATCGTCCAACATTCTAAGATTGTCATAAGGGCAAAATGGGGGTAAAAAATCGTGTAGTGTGAACTACTGCATTGGGTAGT